GGAATGTGTCTATAACTTGCTGGACATATAAATGTTTATTTTTCCATAGGAACTTCATTTTCATCCAGAACAACTCCCTTTGCTTTCATTGCTTTTGTCAGTGACTTTTATTAAAGTGAAAATGGCAGTGCATCTGCTTAATTAGCTTCAAATATCCCAGTGATTACATATTGGAGGAAATGCCTTTGTAGGAAAGACTGTAATTAAACATTGCAGTGAAAACAAATTATCCACTGAGCACCATGCTTTCATCTCTAGCTATTTCATTTACTACATGGGCAGCTGGCTATATCCTGTGCATGAATTCCAGCTCTGCTGGTGATTTGCCACGCAGAAATACAATTTAAAAAAACAAATGCTCAGGGATTTGTTTGTAAAATGTCAGTATAGACATCTTCTATCTAATATATTACTACCCTATGTTAAAAGGTTTTCAGTGTTTTGATTTTTGAAGGAATAAAATGTTGGAAGGATTTTTGTTAAAAATCAATTTGTTGAAAGCAGCTGATAAACATTATTTATCAATACATATTGAATAGTAAAAAACAAGGAAAAAATTGGAATAAGTAAAACTCCAAAACTGTGATTGAAATAACTAATTAAATAACTAAACATATTGTCATAATTAATATTATTAAAATGATAACTAATAAGCTTAAACAGGAAGATATGTAAATGTCTGGGTGGAGCTTTTCAAGCAGCCAATGTAGCTGGTTAAAAAGGTCATCTAATATTTTAAAGATTTGCATTATTTAAGTAGAATTTATAGTTGTCTTTTTAGAAAATAATGATAAAGGCTCAGCATTTGCTGCCTCAGTAACTTTCTATTAAAATGGATTTCCCAGAAATTATCATTCAGATTGAAAACCCAGCTTTTGACTGTCTGTAACAATCAAAGTGTGAACAATTCATTCAGTGAATGTCTGATCAACAATATGAAACTGCTTAAGGAAGGCTGCATTTGTGTGAAAAAGGGTCAGTGTCCTGATTTATCATGAAACAGGAAATGGAAGAAAGCTAGCAGCTTGATCTGGATTTGTTTGTCAGATTACTACACACATCCCCTTGACACAGCAGGGGAGACGTGAGATTGTTTACCAGAAAGCTGTTGTTATGTTTGCATGAACAGGTTCATTGTTATTGCTTGAATAATGCATCTGGGCCTCTTTTCTGTGTTTTCAGAGCTGAAGACAAGGGTGGGAAGGTCTCTGAGGACAGCTATGCCGGCTGTCGAACGCCTAAGCACTTTCATTCCAGCTCCGTCCCTGTCCCCATGGCAGTGGATGGCTTGGTACATTCTGCTGCTGGGTCATCCATCAGATCCCCCTCCCTGCACTCTGTGTTCAACATGGATGATAGCAATAGCCTGCCATCACCAAGGAAACAGCCTCCTCCCAAACCAAAGAGGGACCCCAACACACGACTGAGCGCTTCATACGAGGCTGTTAGTGCTTGCCTGTCGGCAGCTTCTAAGGAAACAGCTAATGAAGGTTAGGCATAAAGGGAGAAACAGTTGCAAATGTTACTCTAGGTTATTGATTTATTCTTTTCACTTTGATCCTTTTAAACACAGTGAAGTGCCTTTGAAAAGTCCCGCTTTGCCTGAAATATTTCGGTGGCAGAAAATAAAATCAGTCAATTTGTAATTTGTTTCCAAATCAGCAGATAATACTCATGTGTTCTAATTACTTAGTTTGTCAACAACAAAAACCTATTTACAGAACTCCCTCTAGAGACAAATGATCTGTCAACTTAAGCTATTCTACCCCACTGACTGCATTATTTCACCTTTTAAACTGTATGCTAGAATATCTTGCATCACTAAAACAGAATGCTTGAATCTTGAATTTCATCAAGTTAAACATTAAACTTTCTCCTACTTTTTCTCTCTGTTCACATGAATAACTTATTGCTTGCAGTGGTTTATGTATGTGCCATAACCTGCTTACAGTGAATTTTTTGTTTAGAAGAAAAGTGCTATGAAAGTCCCAAAGCAGCTCAGTGCATTATAGTGTATATAGAATAGTTTTGAGTTCAGTTGTTCTATTCTCCTTCACCCTTGAAATGAGTGAGTAGAAGATGAAGGGAAAGAATGCATTCTACTTTTTCATGATAAATCTGACTTGTCATGCTTTCTGTAAAGGATCCTCTAGGCTTTTCAGGGAAGATCACTCACATTGGGTTTAAAGATATGTATAACCATTCTCTAATACTGCATACATCAGATGAAAACCTCTGTGGCTCCCTCTTGCAAAATAATTACTGTTCTCATGTCCCGTTCATTAGATGCAAGTCCATTTTACTTAACCTCTTCCCTGGTCAGTCAAGCTCTGTGTAAGGAGAGATAAACTGTATCCAATAAATTTTAAGCTAGCATGGTTTAAGGAGCTCTGTAGTGGTTGTGGCTTTCTGTGCCTAGCTCTTCAAGAAATGATGGATTTAACCAAAAAGCTTTAGCAGAGGTTTTTGAAAGAATGACAATTCATATATGTATTTGTGGTCTTAACGCTAATGCTTGCATACACTCACAAAACAACTTTGAAGTTCTTTTCATATGTATGAAACGATAGTGCCAGTTTCCCTGCATATACTTATTTTCCAAGAATTATGTCGGTTTCCTGAATCTTTGTCCAAAATCAGCTCTGATTTACACCATCTAATTTTGATCTTAAAAGACCAGTCACCTAGGTATCTAGTTTCTCCATTCCGTAGTAGCCTGGAGGCTATGAAAAGATATGTAGTTAACTTTATACTCAATTGGGAATTGCCCTTAGGCTATGGGATTCCCTAACTTCTTTATTAATTATTTCCACACATGCAGTACAAAAGAAGATATAGGCATAATATCTCCCTGTAATTAGAGTTTTATAGATATTACATAAGAGGGGGATACTTCAGTTACTGGCAGTGATGCATGTCTAATTAGCACCATGCTGAAACTCCTAGTTAAAAGCACGGCCCCGTCTCTTGGGGCGAATGGAATAACAAACAAATATTTCAGTGTGTTACAGATCTTGCAGTGAACATTTCTATTCAAAAGATACCTCCTCAGGTATTAGTTACCATCTTTTACTGGCCGTAGAGATTACCCAAACAGATTATATGTCAAGGTAGCAAAGGATAGTGGTTAGGAAGCTGCAAGTTCTGCATTTCATTCCTGAAATATGCTTTCGACTGAATCCCTGTGTTTGTGACTGATGCTCATTGTCAAATCATATGGGTAGCATTTGAAGACTTACAGTATTAGACCTGTGTAAGGAATAACTGACTTTGATCTGTTAATAACACAGACCTTTTTCACTTTCCTAGTACTGACCCGGCCAAGGCCACACAGTGATGATTATAGTACCATGAAAAAAATACCTCCCAGAAAACCAAAACGAAGTCCCAATACAAAACTTAGTGGCTCTTACGAAGAAATACCCGGCCAAAAGCCTGGTGATGTAAAACAGGCAAGCACAGTAGCTAAACCAGGTGTCTATGACACTATGGCAGTACAGAGAACAGCTTCTGCTGATGGGCCACAGCATGGCGTGTTGAGTCTCTATATGTCACAAGAAGAGGAGGAAAATGAGCCTGTCTATATTGAGATGGTCGGGAACGCAATGAAGAGCATTTCTGCTGAAGCAGAAAGTCTAGAACAAGGAGAGTCTGTATATGAAGAAATGAAATATTTTCTACCAGAAGAAGGAACCAATGGTAATGGAATAGTTCCAGTAGTGACTGGATCTCCTCCTTTGTTGTTTGAAAGCAAAAAAAACTTTAACATTGAAGATGGGCCATTGGATGGAAACAGTCAGGCAGCTTTGATCTATAAAGACTCATGTGACATTCCAGCCCCTTTCCCTAACTTGCTCCCCCACCGGCCACCACTTCTTGTATTTCCTCCAACCCCTGTCACATGTTCACCTGCTTCTGATGAATCACCTCTAACACCACTTGAAGTCAAAAAGCTTCCTGTGTTGGAAACCAACCTAAAATACCCCGTGCAGTCTGAAGGATCAAGTCCATTATCACCACAGTATTCCAAAAGCCAGAAAGGCGAGAATGAAAGACCAGCATCTCCAGGCTTGGTTGTGTTCAATGTTTCCAGCAAAGTGACTCCTCCTTCCACACCACCTCCTCCTCTCCCACCACCCCCTCCTCCTGTACCACCTTCTATTTCCTACCGGGCTTCCACACATTTTGCATTTCCTCCAGAGACTTGTGCTAGTTTTCTGATTAATACAGGGAAAACAGGTACAAGCTCAGATCTTCCAAAAGTACCTCAGAGACCAAATCCTGCTCAGCTTGGATGCTCATCTTCTCCATTCTCCAAACTGCCTTACTCCCCAAAGGTGGCAAGAGCAGATCACAGGAAATTGAACTCAAATTCATCATCTTCATTTTCATACAGCCCTACAAACTCAAGGTCATTGACCAGTCCCCTTGATGAGTTAACTAGCTTGTTCAACTCAGGACGGAGTGTGCTACGAAAATCTGCAGCAGGACGTAAGATCAGGGAACCAGAAGGTAAGACAGATCTCTGTGCTTCTGTATAATGTGTTTCTTCTGCACCAAAACTTTCTTACATTAGAAGCTGATAAAGTAGGTGAAAATACAAAACAAAACCAGTATTTTATTTTTTTTATTTTTTTAAGAAAGGTCTATTGTAGTCATGAGAAACATATATAGAAAATACATTGTCTATAAAAAATTATAGGTCTTCAGGTTTTCACTGAGATATCAGCTTTTATTTTACCAAAATGTTCATAGGACACAAATTTAAATGCATTATTTTTAAAATTCCAGGAGCCTCGATAAAATAAACACAGAGGTCACATCATGTGAAAAATGAGTTTGTGTTATCGATCTATAAAAATACTTTGAATTAAATATATGGCTGGGTGTCTGGTAGATAACATTAATTTGAAGACTTTCTTTTAAGGTTTCATTATTTCAAATCCATGAAATTCTGAATTTGCTGATGGAGCCATTAATATTCTCATAGATAAAGCTGAGACAGAGAGATGTGCAGCAAACTACATTTATTTCCTCTTTCTGTCCTTTTATTCCTAACTTTCCTGCCATTTACATACACTTATGTAGATACCCAGATACTACTTGTTATCCTGACTTTCCGGAAGTTGGAGAACATCTTTTGTATCTAGTGCAAAAACCAACTATAAAAAAAAATAAGCAAAACTTGCCATTTTGCTAATGGTTTCTGAGACTGGAGTCATCAGACATTATCACTTAATTATTTGTCTTGTCCAGGTAATAATGGGTTTAATGTTGTTACTGGGACAAATCTACGGATCTTGTGAGTACTGAAAATTCATCCTTATGTTAATAGTTTCAATAGGCAGCTCTGTCAGGGTGAGATGCTTCTGACCTAGCTTTGTCCATCTAAAAGCTTAATATGTAGGCATCAAATCTTTAGGCTATGAAGAGACAGTCATTTAGAGAAACTAATTCCTCCCATATCTCTTTCTCCATTGGGTATGAGGAAAGCCTAGATGATTAAACTAGTAGAGTTGTAACTTCTAGGTGATTAAAGTTGAAATAAATCCTGGCTCTGCATATCAATTACAACAGTGACTCAAATCATCACATTAGTTTTCTGATTTAAAAAAAAAACACTTTCCTATTGAAAATAGTCAGTGTATTCTATATAGAAACTTCTCTCCCTAGTAGCATCTCCCAAGCACAAGATCTTGTGAATTTAAAATTCAGGGTAAGAAAACCTCTAGACTGTTTTCTCTACTTCTTTACTTCTTTCTGTCCAAACAGTTTGTCTTAATCAAGAGCTGTGTGCAGTTTTTTCAAAATGGGCAAAATATAATCATACAATCATTTAGGTTGGAAAAGACCTTTAAGATTGAGTCCAACCATTACCTTAGCACTACCAAGTCTACCACTAAACCATGTCCCCAGGTGCCACATCTACACATATTTTAAATACTTTTAGGGATGGTGCCTCCACCACTTCTCTTAACCCCTGAGCCTCCTTTTCTCCAGGCTAAACAACCCCAGTTTCCTCAGCCACTTCCTCTTAAGGCTTGTTCTCTAGATCCTTCACCAGCTTTGTTGCCCTTTGGACATGCACCAGCACCTCAGTGTCTCTAAGTATTCAAGGTGTGGCCTCACCAGTGCTGGGTACAAGGAGGCAACCACGTCCGTAGTTCTCCTGGCCACAATATTGTTGATACAAGCCAGGGTACGGTTGGCCTTCTGAGCACACTGCTGGCACATACTCAGCCAGCTGACATCCAACACCCCCCAGGTCCTTTCCTGCTGCGCAGCTTTCCAGCCAGTCTTCCTCAAGCCTATAGCGTTGCATGGGGTTGTTGTTACCCAGGTTCAGGACCCAGCAGTCTGCCTTGTTGAACATCCTACCATTGGCCACAGCCCACTGATCCAGCCTCTACAGGTCCCTCTGCAGATCCTTCCTACCCTTCAGCAGATCAACACTGCTGTGCAACTTGATGTTGTCTGCAAACTTACTGAGGGTACGCTTGATCCCCTTGCCCAGATTATTGCTAAAGATATTAAACAGAACTGGCCCCAGTACTGAGCCATGGGGAACACCACAGGTGTGGTCACCTGGATTTAACTCCATTCACCACCACTGTTTGGGCCCAGCCATCCAGCCAGATTTTTACCCAGTGAAATGTACACCTGTCCAAGCCATGAGCAGCCCATTTCTCTAGGAGAATGCTGTGGAAAACTGTGTCAAAGGCTTTACTAAATCTAGGTGGATAACATCCACAGCTTTTCCCTCATCCACTGAGTCACCTTGTTGTAGAAGGAGATCAGGCTGGTCAAGCAGGACCTGCCTTCCGTAAACCCCTGCTAACTGGGCCTGATAGCCTGGTTGTCCTGTGCATGCAGTGTGATTGCACTCAAGGTGATTTGCTGAAAGACCCTCCCTGTCACTGAGGTCAAACTGGCAGGCCTGGAGTTGCCCAGATCCTCTTCCTGGCTCTTCTGGTAGGTGGGCATCACATTTGCTAACCACCAGCCAACATTCAATGTCTATAAATACATGTAGAATAGGGTTGTTCGGTTTGTTGGTTTGGGGTTTGTTTTGGGGGTTTTTTGTTTGGTTGGTTGGTTTTGGTTTTATTTGTAAGTTGGGAGTCTTGTTTTGTTGTAGATGATAAATACATTTTTATCCACTCTTTGTGTGTATCTTCTCAAAGCTCTCTCAATGTACCTGGTGAGGAAGTGTGGTAGACCTACCCCAACCAAGTCACAAAACTGACCTTTAACTTAAAAAAAAAAAAAAGTTGCTTTGGGATGGTGGTTTTTTGCAGGTGCAATTTTCAACTAAAGGTGACCAAGATAGGGTTCAGCTTGGGTCTCCTGTGGGTTGAAGCTAGTGCATTAGCAGAGGTTACCGTAGAAAAACTCTACATTTACCTTTCACATGGAAAATGTACTTCTAAATATTTCATCAAGGCAGCACTAAGTATGAAAGACCAAAGTTCAAGAAAGATGAACAATAAAAAAACCTGAATCAATATTTTATGAGCTAGGAAGCTACTGGTTACTAAGTGCAGTTACATATGAATAGTTCAATGATGAGCAGATGGATTGAAAGAAATAAATGCAGGTGAATGTATGTGCATGTTTTTACAGTTTGCCTTTCTTCATGTACTTCATGTGTTCAGTTAATTTCCAGGGTAACAGCTGGAAAAATATTATTTTTTTTATTTCACTTCTCATGCAAAGTAGTAAGATGGCAATCAGCAAAGTGGACTGTTATGCAAAACTTGAAGTTGTCCATGTCTTACCTTCTGATTTTTTATCATCTATTGCCTAATGCATATTAAGTTCCTGGCAGACTCCTCCCTTTCCTCTTTTTGTCATTTGTAGTATTTTATTTTTAGGAGATGATATGGTTAAAAAAGAAAAGAAATAGAAATTAATTAAAATTTATGACATGGCCTGGAGCAGCACCTGGTAATGTGCAGTTTCCTTTATTTCCAGAAGTTATAACCTACCAACAACCTTAACTAAAACCAGAAAGTAAAAATGTGAGCCATTTTGAAGTCAAGGAGAGTTACATATGGGAATCAATAAGATTCTGTAAGGGATCATCAGCCTTGGAGATAAAAGCCTCCTTGCCAATAAAAGTGCAGTGGAGACAGATTCCTCAACATGCTTTCCCCTTGCCTGGAGGAGTAATTTCCAGGCCTGAGAACACTGATGTCCCCTTGGCTCCTGACCTTTCCATGGGCAATGATCTTCAAGAATTACAATAAAGCAGATTTGTGGTTTTCTGATGGGCTGTGGACTTATTGTGAACTGAACTGAGTACTCTTCTTTCAGAAAGGCAAAAACAACAACAACAAAATCAAATGGGAACAACTCTCATTACCTGGTGGCCCAACCTGGCTATTAGTTTTATACAACAGTATCATCTACTGGTTCAAGCAATGATCAGGATCATATAGTATGCAATTTCTTGCATAATACTTTGCATTTAATAAGACAAACTTTCTGCTGTACATAACTTGTAGTTTAAATAAGCAAAACTATAACAGGTGAGAACTGAGATAAAGTGATTTCTCCAAGGTTGAAAAAAGTTCATTGAAGCTACAGCTGTATTGTTAGACAGGAATTTCCTATTACTCCACACAAAATGAGATGTAAGTGCAGATAAGCAATCATACACACACACACAAATTTTTTTTCTATTCTTCCAGATTTCTAGAAATAGAAACTTTCATTTTCAAGACTGGAATAAACTGAATGGTCCTGTGCAGAGCCCCTCCTCAGATATTTCTAGATATTTCTAGATTTTTCTAGATATTTTGGACTAGGATTTATGAAACCAAATTGGTTTCATAAATTGGCCTGAATAAAACACCCACACTCTCTAGAGGAATGCACAAATATTTTTAATTAGTCAACATATAAGACATGTAAGGCATATGAAATGTTTAAGCATTTCATATTAAGTATGTGTGGAGTATGGACAGAATTTTCTTTAGAAAAGAACATTAGATTGTTAACAAAATATTCATAATGTTCAAATGTTTGCCCAATATGTTTGGCATCCATTAACTATATGAGTCCCTTCTTTACCTACTTCCTAAGTGAGTTATTTCCAAGGCAGGCAGCTACACATATCAGTGAATTATTTCATATTCTCTAGTTTAAGCATTGGAAGTCACAGTGAGATAATTACAACTGACAATACAGATATTTAGATCATCTAGCTGTGACTAAAGGTTGCCGAATACTGTTTATTGAAATTGACTCAAACTTTGAAAATAACAGGATTTAATGTGTATGTTTGTGGAGTACTGTCCTGTCAAAGGCAGGTACCCCTTTGATAGCTGGCAAATAGTTTCCCTTTATCAGCAGATTAAAGCAAGCTATTTTGCAGCTAATGTCCGAACAGTGGATTTCAAATTAAATCCCCACTGGGGTTTCTGAGATGAAATCCTAGTCCCTTATCCTCTAAGCCACTCAGCTTTTCCTCTTAATCAACTTAATAAAGATTATATTCATATCTGCAT